GGGGGGGGGGGGGGGGGGGGGGGGGGGGGGGGGGGGGGGGGTCTTAGGGGGGGGCAGTTAGGGGACAAGGAACAGGGAATCTTAGGTAGGGGGTGGGGTTCTGGAGGGCAGTTAGGGGCGAGGGGTCCCGAGGAGGGGGCAGTCAGGGGACAAGGAACGGGGGGAGGGTTGGAGGTTCTGGGGGGGCGGGAAGTGGGAGGGGCGGGGCTAGGGCGGGGCTCCTCCCGTCCTCTTTTTTGCTTGCTGAAATATGGTAACCCTACCTAACGCCATGGCGCACACTGAGCAAACCAGTGGGGGTGGCAGTGGCAGGAGGGGTGTGGGGGGCCCCAGAGCTGGGGAAAATTGGCAGCAACAAGAGATCCTAAAACTTCACATGAAAAAGTAACGTGGCAGAGTCCAAGTGTAATGCTGCCAAACCCCAGTCGGCAGGATCGAACCGGGGACCTCTAAAGCTTAGTGCATGAGCCTCTACTGCGTGAGCTAAAAGCCAACTGGCTGTAGAGCAAACTCATTAATCTCTCGCTCTCTAAGTGGTCTCAGTGCCACTAGCTGGGACAGACACCACCCCCAGGAGGTGTGTGGGTTACACAAGGCAAGTCTGCCATGTGTAAGGGGACTATTGCCCCCGTACTAACACTCGGGGGGGGGGGTGTTTTGGTGGCTAGCTCCCAGCACTAAAAGGGGAGGGGTCGATGGGAAATCAGGAGCCTGAGACTGACAGTCCCCAGGAACAATGGGGAGAGGCCAATGCTCCAGATCAGCCTGATTGACAGGGCAGGCAGCTAATCGGGGAGTCAGGAGGCCGGGGGGGTCCCGTCCTCTGTGTGAACTGGAATGGCCTGGGTCAGACAGAGTGGGGCCGAGCTAAGGAGAGAGCAGGGGCCCGAGCTGAGCTGTTGGGAGCAGAGCTGCAGCCCCAAAGCCAGAGCATGGCCCAGAGAGAGCAAAGCTGCCCTGGGGGGAGACCTGCAGCCCCAGAGCCAGAGGGGCCAGACAAGCAGCCCAGGGGCTGGAGGCAGAGCAGCAGCAGCAGCCGGGCTGAGGCAGTGTGGGGCTGGAGCTGGAGCCGGGGCTGGAGCCGTCCGGAGCCGGGTGCGGGGAGCAGCTGGGGAGAGTGAGGGGGACCCTGGACAGTGGGCCCAGCGCAGGGAGACGCCTCAGCCAAGAGGCTCTGCAGGCCAGACTCAGAGGGGGATCATAACCCTGACCAGGCAGCGGCGATGCTGGTAAGAAGGGTCCTGCCACCTAGAGCCTGAGAGCGTGTGGCCACCGCCATTGCAAGTGTCCAACCCGCAGCATCTCTGCAGCATGGCCAGGGCCTGAGAAGGAGCCTGGGACCTACAAGGAACAGACGGTGACCTGCCCTGACGTTCCAGAGACACTGGTTGTGATGTTCCCGGCCACAGAGCGGGGTGATGTGTTTCCTTTAACCTTTCCCATTTTTCCTTATTCTTTTTTAAAATTAATTGTTAATTAAACAACTTGTATTTGCTTTAAATTGTATGAAATGATCCGTGGGTCAGGGAGGTGCCCAGTGCAAAGAGAGTACCCCGGAGTGGGGACACCCTAGCCCCTGTCCTGGGTGACCACAGCAGGGTTGGGTTTGAGCCCCCCAGGAATCCGGGGCCCAGCCTTGTCGGGGTTTACGAGGACTCTGCCAGACAGGAGAGTGGAAGGGGAGACCCCAAGGGCAGAGAGGCCTCTGGGTAAAGGAAATGGGAGCGAGGACTCAGATCCTTTCGCTAGCCCACTTCACCGGGGTAGTGCAGAAGCCAGGAAAGTTCCCCACAATAGCGGGACCATTCCCCCGCTTACACATGTTAGCAGATCCCCTGCCTCTTTCTGACCCTCCCTCTGCTCTGCTGAGCACAGGAACAGCGTCATGGGGGGGAACCACGAGGGGACGTAGGCATTGCAATGCTGAGCGTCACCACACTTAACTTTTAGGCACCTAGAAAATCACAGGAACACCCTGGGATCCACAGAGCAGAGTTCGGCACCTGGGCTCCCTGTACAGGACTGGGCAGAGACGGGCGCCCGCCACTGCGAGCCACAAAGCTAGCACGAGCCGCAGTGAGCCGCTAAAGCCAGCCAATGGGCGAAGCCAAACAGCGGGGGAAGAGGGGGTGCTAAGCCCCACCCCCTCACAGACAGAGGTGTCTCAGGCCTGGTCCAGGTCCCGTGAGCTGTCAGCTGGGGGCACAGTGACTGCATGGTGCCGGCAGTTGTAACAAGCAAATCATGCACACGTCTATTTTCATACACTGCTGGGCACAGGCTGTTCTGAACGTGGTCGTGTAACTTTATGGAATTTTTGAAATGGCGCCTTCATTTCTACTGGCTTCATCGTCCTTCTTCTCCAGCTTGCTCTGTGCCAGCCCCCGAGGAATCTGCAACTGCCTTCGCTAATGAAGCTAGCAGGACTGGCGCTGTCCTTGCCTCGGCTAGTGGTGCCGGAGTGCAGGGTCTCTTTTCTCTGATATTTGAACAGGGCTTTGGGGGGTGATATTACGGCCCTAGGACCTTGGGGAGGTCTGCCAGCAGGAGCTAGTATAGTGATGGGTGCTACAGAAAAAAGGCAGAGAACCTCTTCTCACACCACTGCTATGGTAATGCAGGTGTGTTCAGATCTCAGCCCTCGGCTTTCTCATTTCTCTGAGCCATGGGGTTCATTGGGGTGTTGGACCGGTGTTCTGTAGGGCTGTGCAGAACTGGTGGGACGCTGAAGAGACCCAGTAGGGGACTGAACAGAGAGGGGCCCAGAGGGAATTCTCTGGACACAGGCAGCTGGCAGCCTAAGGGGCAGGAGCCTGCGGACGGCTATTGCGGCTACGGTGCCCCAGACACGGGGGATGAGCCTGGGAAGGGGCGGCGTGCTCAGTCTGGGGCTGAGTCCAGGAGAAGGGGCTGCTGTACAGGTTATATACACCCAGCAGGGACTGTGCGGGGCTTGCATCCTGCTAGCCGGAGCTAGGCAGGGACACATGGGGGGGGCCCGTAATTGTACACACATAGATTGATCTCAGCCAGGAGACCCGCTGCCAGCTGATGGCCTGTAATAGGGGACCCCGGCGAGGGCTCCCAGGCACGAGACTGGAGAAGCCAAACCCCTCTGTTGGACAGCCCTAGGGGCCAAGGTAGGAACTGCTGTGCTGGACCTTGAGGTGTAGGCTATTGGCAACCTTTCCTTTGGGCCAGCCCTAGTGTGACGGAGCAGGGAGCAGGGCAGATTTGACCTGGGAATGTTGCAGGGGGGATTGCAGTGAGGAGGGGGGGACTTCCCGTTGAAGGAAGCTACCTGAGCTGTAACCTGAGCCAGGAAC